TTATTTTGTTTCTCTTCCTTTAAAAAAAAAAAAAAAGAAACACCGAATGTGTTTGGATAGAGTATTATTTAAAATATTTATTATAATATTTTTTAGATGTGATGTATATAAAATATAAAAATAGTTAAAAATATAAAAATATGAATTAAAAAATATACTTACGATGCAAGTGAAATATCACGTAAAATAATTTAGCAATCCAAACACACTTACAGGTTTTTGGTTAGAAAAATAGTAATTGCCTAGTTGGCAACTGAGCGTCTAAGAAAAATAGGTAAAAGTAATATCCTAAAGGAAGAGGAAATAAAAAGGCAAACTCGCCTGAAAATTCCAGGAAAAAAAAAATGGAGAAGGGGCAAAAACCTGAACAAAAGAGAAAGGGTAGGAGGTCCAACTTCCAATTCCCGTGCAGCGTTGCATTGTGTCACTTCGGCCAATTAGATCTCAGCATGGACTTTCAAGGCCCAATAATATGCTTCCACGTGTGAGTTCAACGTAGAATTTTTTACCCCACACCCTTCCCTTCATATAAATTCCTCAAACGACAATCCGCAAGACAAATCGTCGTTTCGCTCCATTTTTTTTTCCCAGTTAAGTATAAGTATAATAAAAGAGAAACTCGAAAAATCAAAATTTGGGTATAAATTCTGTTCGAATTTGCATGATCGTCGAAGAAGTCGCCAGACACTAGACGTGGCACGCCGGATCTGTTATTTCCGGCGAAGTTGAGGAAACTTTACTAGTGATTCGACAAATTGACTAATAATGGAGTCTCATGGCGCCGGACTCCACCGCGTATTTCTCCTGGCCTTCTGCGTCGCCGGAATTTGGTGTGCGTATATCTATCAGGGCGTCCTCCAAGAGACTGTGTAAGCATTCTACATTTCCTTAGCCCTGTTTTATGGTTGAAATTTTGTGATAGGAATTCGTACTTCTGTTAAGTTCGTTTATTGTAGGACGTAGTAAAAATTTGTGAGAATTCATTTTAGGAACATTTAATCAGATATATGTACCTGGAAAAATATGGCATTTTGAAGATGATAGTAAAATGGCGTGATCTTTGGTACTCGAAGATATACATTAAGGTCTAAAGATATCCTTGACCTCCTTAATTTTCGTAGAATTTCGTGAAAATTTTAGGAACTTTAGGAGTGCATCGATTCTGCTTTCATAATCTGGTACTTGAAGTTACATATGCGTCAAGACATACAAAAATTAAAGGAAATTCAGTGTAACAAAGTAATTAATGGTAAGAGATTAAGGTCTCGCATAAAGTTAGGAACTCTACTGATGGATATCAGTCTGGCTAAATGCCACTTCACAGTCTAAATGCCACTCTACAGATGGATATCAGATGGAATATTTCTCACACATTGTTGGGTTGGCTGCACAAGCAGTAGCATACGTGCATTTACTCTGTGGTGTTCTATGCTACTTTAGATGCTGAAGTAATTATTCATGAGAGCTGTGTTAGTGTATTATTGTTGTTGATTTTGGTCAATATTCTGTTTTAGATCAACCAAGCGATTTGGGCCGGATAAGAAGAGGTTCGAGCACTTGGCTTTCCTCAACTTGGCACAGAATTTAGTTTGTTTGATATGGTCCTTTATAAGTAAGCTTTTAAATTACAATTATCTGTTGGAAATTGTGGAATATTTTGATAGTTGATGAACAGGAAAGTAATCAGCTTTACTTTTCTGATTATTTAGTGATAAAGATTTGGTCCAACGGCAAGAGAGATGGTACTCCCTGGTGGACATTCTGGAGTGCTGGAGTTACAAATACAATTGGACCAGCTATGGGCATTGAAGCATTGAAGTATATCAGCTACCCCGGTCAGGTAATTTTGGTTTTTCATGGAGAGAATGTGTGATGCTTCCTTTCATACTTTATTCTGAACCATGAATGTCTAAACTTGATTGGTATCCACCTTATCTGATCCCATGCTTTGATACAGTTTATACATCTTAATAATTTCGTAACTTGTTTAAGCACATTTGCCTTCTGGTCACTCCTATTCTGATAACATTGCAAATCTGGATATCTTTCAATGATTTTTTAATTGTGAATTCACCATTTATGTGGACAATACTCTGAATTTGATGTGTTTATAAGATCATTACAGTGGTTGCATAAAAAGGCTACCGAGAAAAGTATTTCCAAATGACTGGAAGTTTGTTTACATGATAGGCTTTTCTTCCAATGGTTTTTATATATAGGATAGATTTGAACATGATAAAATATTAGCTTTTGAATCAAATTGCATGTTCGTGTTTCTAAATTACAAGGACGAAGGGTATTTTGTGCTTATGCAATTTGTTATTGTTTGCAGGTCCTGGCTAAATCCTCCAAAATGATTCCAGGTGGGCTGCATTCATTATAATACTGAAATCTGTATTCTGCTGAAAACATTTGTTCAAAACCTTTTAGATGACATGTCAGGGGCATGCTAGTGGAACAGGGAAGGGATCCCTGAAAATTTATTGTCTTTGTCCCTTTCTTTCTTTTGCATTTGGGATGCAGGCTTTCACTTGAATTAGAGGAAAAGTACTGCATTTTTTTAATGTGCCACATACATTTTGACAATCTGAAGCTTCAGTTTTGAAGTGGGCATTGGCAAATTTTTCCAGTTGGGAATTTTGTATTTTTTCCCCCTTGGTTGTCAACATTAATGGGCACATGTATTTTTATTAATTTAGTTTCCTATAAACCATTTTGATGATGAATTGATGGCCATTGGTGCTAAAAGTAAGCCTTGTATGGTCATGCGCATCAACAGGAGCAAAACTTTTCTTTGTGTAGGCTGATAGGCATAATGAGTACATTTGAGAAGAACCAGTAGTCTTTTGAAGTTTTCTTTTTTCTTTTTTATTTTTAATTAAATCTGGACATGTCTTTATGCAGTGATGCTGATGGGTACACTAGTTTATGGCATAAGATATACATTTCCTGAATATGTTTGTACACTACTTGTTGCTGGTGGAATATCAATGTTTGCTCTTTCAAAGGTGAGTGTTTGACACAGAAATTGGTAATAAATTGCCCTGCTTTCTCTTCTCCTCTCTCCATCTTGGTAGATGCATACATTGAATGAGTTTGCGTTGACAACCTGCCCTTCACATTTAATTTTCCTGGTTACAGCCTAGCTCAAAATCTATCAGCAAGCTGGCACATCCTAATCCTGGACTTGGTTATGGTCTATGCTTTCTGAATCTTGCTTTTGATGGATTCACCAACGCAACTCAGGACTCCATTACAGCAAGGTATTTGGTGTGAGAGTCTGTTGTTCCTTGGGCAGAATACTTGCACATCTTTCTCAAAGTTTTGCATTTATAAAACAACTCGATCATAGAGAGTATTTTGAATGAAATCATATTCATGTTTTGACATCATATCCTATTATGTTTCTTGTGTTCCACTGTTGCATAGTACTCCTTGCTCAAGGAGCACTTTCTAAAAGGACTACCTATAAGTACAAAGAAAGCCACACAGGATGGACTTTCCTGTATTAACTGATCATTTTCATACATCATGTTTCAGAGAAAATAGAACGCTTACTAACGTGGCATCCCAAAATTTTGTCTCTTTTTCCTGTGCCCGATATTGATCAGCCGCTCGTCCATAACTCCACATCTAACTGTGCCTATTTTGGTTCAGGTACCCTAAGACAACTGCTTGGGATATCATGCTGGGAATGAATTTATGGGGTACAATTTACAACGTCATCTTCATGTTTGGTTGGCCACAAGCTAGTGGATACGAGGCAGTTAAATTCTGCCAGCAGCAGCCGGAAGTGGCCTGGGACATTTTGCTCTACTGTCTTTGTGGTGCAGTAGGCCAGAATTTTATCTTTCTAACCATTAGTCGATTTGGTTCCCTAACTAACACAACTATTACCACTACCCGCAAGTTTGTGAGCATTGTGGTGTCTTCAGTGCTCAGTGGCAATCCAATGTCTACAAAACAATGGGGAAGTGTCATCATGGTTTTCTCTGGATTAGCGTACCAGATTTATCTGAAGTGGAGGAAATTGCAGAGGATGCAGAAGAAAAAGAAGTCCATGTAACCATGGCTCTCATTTTGGATTTAAGACGTAGGTTTTTTTTTCCTTTTTTTTAAAAATATTTTCATATAGTATGTGGTGTAAAAGCGCTCGCCTTTTTTTTTTTTCTCCCTTCGCATATAGTGCTGGTGTAAACGCAAGCCTAACTGAATGCGCTTGCAGCAAAGAGAATGTATTGGAATAGTATGATTATTAATATAGAATTTTTGGCTCTAGCTCGATTTGGCTCTTAATTGTTAATTATGACCGACTTCCATACCTCTTGGCTCGCAATAATCATGATAAGGCTAAACTCCCATACCCTTTGACTTGCAATAAGCATGATAAGACTACTAGTTGCTTATACTTCGTTCCTTTCTCTTCCCTTCCGTGAGCTTGATATAAGTTGATAGAATGGCAACTTGCAAGAATATTGAGATGCAAAAGGGCAGATGGAGGGCAGGAAACGATGAATTCATGCTGAATCCTTGGACAAACCTTTTATTCTTCTGTCATCGATTTGCTAGCAAAAAATCAAGGCAAAAAAGGGTGTGGCATTTAAGCGGTTTCTTTTGCCAAGATGATCAGATGGACGGCACTGTGTAATCTTTGAGAAAGCCACCTGCCGCTTTATTTTCACGTAGTTTTCGAATTCTGCATCGTAGGTGTTCTGTTACATTACAACAGAATTCGATGATTCTCTCACGGGTAAGCTGGTCTTTAGTTGATTCGCATGATAGTGGCATGATTAGTCTCTGTGCAATTCATGTCTAAATTGGTGGACGTGATCATAGTTCAAAGTTGCGGTGGTGGTCGTGGCTCGGACTGTTTTACATTGGTATTAGCATATCGGTCGTGATTTCGGCAAGATGTAAATTTTTGAAATATTTAATATTCCAAAAATTGTAAAAAAAAAATAATAAAAATTTGAGTTGACTCGGAATGATTCGAGGCGATTTGGCTGTTTCTATCCGTCTCGGACACGTTTCGACCGAGTTCTCAGTGACTCGATCGAGTTCTCGGCGATTCATTATCTCAGAGTCATCTCATCCCGGTATCGGAACAGAAAACTCTGTTCTGGTGACGACTCGATCGAGTCTTTGAACCATGGATGTGATTGATTGGATTGGGATATCGTAACAATTTAATGTTTTAATGTGGTTGATCCTCAAAATGCCAGCAAAAATAGGCGAAGCAATTCTGTTGTCTTCCTTTACCTGCATCACTGGTACAGAATCAGGAGTATTATTACATTGACTAATCATGGAGGAATTCACATTACTCAGAAGTTGAAAAACCATTTCGCTAGATCATGGTTGTGTTTCACTTTTGTTTTCTTGCTTAGGAGGTCGGCCCCTCTTCCATGTCTTGTTTTTGTAGGCTAAATTGAAAGCTATAAAATGAGCAATACAAAATTAGTAACTTTTAGGCAAGTTGCTAAGAGTGAGCACTAAAATTTGAACCCAATATTGGCCTACCATGCATAGATAATGGCCATTCAAAACTAATTTAAGCAATAAAACCTCATGTTTCATTTACCAGAAGAAAGCTTGGATGAACACATAAATTATTAAGATATTGGGTGGAAACATGGTGGACCTGCAGTAATCTTTGCACTTGCTCAAAATTGTTCAATGAGTAAAGATCTAATCATGTAAACTTGCTCGAAAGAAGTCGGTGGCGTTGAAAAGACTCGTATTTACTGGTTTATCCTTCCAATCTGCATCTTTGAAGTGGCCATTTGAGGTCAAATTAAGTCCTTGAATGTTTAAGGTGGATTTTGAGGTGAGTGACTGCCAGTGCTTTGCTCAACTTTAATTTGTACAGCGTTCCCTCCCTCTTTTACCAGTACCTTTTGCTTTTGATCATGATCGCGTTTGTCCACCACCAACAACCGCTGACCAAGTTAAATAACAGACTTCCTCAGACCCCCTCTTCCCCACTAGATTTCCCCGTCCCTGCATCAGAGACTTTCAGAAGCTTTCACAGAGAGAATGAGGGAGAGAGGAGAAATTTCTCATGTCATGGCAAGAAATATGCACGAATCTTGTAAGAATTCTTACCCTACTCTTATGCCAAGGTTTTGTTCTTCCTGCATTGCACTTTTCCACCTCAATTGGGGATTTTTCCAATTATATTCATTAATCTGTTTCAGGTTTCTTTCGTTAGCTCTAGCTTCTCTGTTACAGAAGCAAGATAATAGACATGAAGAAATGTCTGCGCACGGGAACCAAACTGCATTCTCCACTCCAGTAAGTATAGATCACATTACAAGTAAAATTAAAGTAAAGAATCTATAAAACCAAGAAAAACTTCTGGAATACTCTGCACACCTTGAAAACAAAGAGTCCAATACAACTGGTTGAACCTCCTTTGCTCCTTTTTTTTTTCTCCTCTTATGTTATCAAACTTCTCTATAGAGGGTAATTCTGGCGAGGTGCCGCTTTCTACTTACACTATAATGACTAGGGAACTATACTGTATGTTCTGTACAATTGGCATCTTCAAGGCCAAAACTCATGGGAACATCGAATACCAAAACTCGAGTCCCAAAACACAAAAGAATTAGACACGATACTCGAGCACACAGGAAGTCTATGTGAGTATTAGATAGATTTACTCAGTAAAAAGAAAAAAAAAAAAGCTTAGGGCAATCTAGAATGTACCGTAACATTCTAGAATGCAAAGCAGAACCTCATAGGCCTTCTGCAAAAAACACAGGTCGATATGACTGCTATGGAAGCAAAATGAGCTGAAAAGTCAATGTAAAAAGCTCCATTTGCTGAAAACTCTAAATAAGCAGTGATGGAGGTTCTGAATCAAGGGAGATGGATCAGTGAAATTGGTCATAGGCTTTGAAGGAGAGCCCTTTTGCAGGCTGGAGGTTGTGAAGGATTGGTGCTAGGAGTTAAGGATGTGGACTCCATTCCGAGTGCTCTCAATAGGAAATGCCTTTCCTGCAAAACACATGGAGTTATTACTTTTAGCAATAAATCATACTCACAGATAAAATATTAGACATGAAGTGGAAGCAGATTAGCACAAAGTTAGTAATTTGTACTTTTTCAGTCTGAACAGCTCCAAACATTAAAAGGAATATCCATCTTTGAATTTCATGGAAAAGAAACAACAGATTTCAGAACATACCGCTTAATTTAATATCAACTTTATGATCAGTGAAAAAGAGAAAAGTTGTTCCGCTACAAGAAAATATTGTATGGTCAAAGTAAACTGCTCAGTGAATTAGCATTTTTCATAGGTAAAATATCTGATGCTTTACACTATTAAAAAGAAAATAAACAGTAAAATGCAGCTAGAGATTGATCATAATGTGGAGAACTGTGAAGCGGAGTTAAGTTTGTGAAAGAAGAAAACCAAAATGAATAGAGAGGGTAAAATGGGATCTTGCTGCTTACAGGCTACAAACAGTAAAGCCTATTCTAGAATGTTGTGAGTAATGAGTCCATGTTTTTTAAGTAAATCATTACATTAACAAACCAAACGAGAAGGATGGAAGATGCTCGCCACATAGTATCCATCAGGGGCAAGTGACAAAGATATATCATACATTGTATCCTAAATAACTCCAGGAAATTCCAAATTCTGCGTGATCCTCATTTTATCTCTGACATTAGCAAGAACTAGACACAACAACTGTGCATCTATTCAATACTCTGAGGCAATTACACTAAATCCTGATCAAGAAACCCTGCTGGTCAAAGTACTTTCCTTTTAAGGTAAGTCAAATTAAAAAACATATCATTTTCACTGTAATTGACTCATTTCAAGTGAATGTAATAAGCTGTTTGCTCTGGAGACATTCAGTACTGTAACGAGAGCTAAAGGCACAACAGTTCTCTTTCCTTTCCCTTTTAACTAAAGTTCCTGAAGGTTGATTTTAAAGTCTGCTTCAGAGAATTTTACTGATACAAACACTAGTGGAACTCAAGGTTACAACATATTGGTCCTCAGGTGCAGCTTTCAAAGTACCTAAGTGCATATAACTTGTTGAAATTCATTGCATAAAGATGTAGGTAACTCATACTCAGTGATTTTGATCAGAAGTAAGCTAGTTTAATTTTCTTTCACTATTCAAACTGGAAAGCTAATGGGGACAGTTTTGATTGTTATATCATGGTGTCATATTGAATTTTGTATAAACTAGCAGATTTAATGTTTCAAAATTTGGTAACTGCAGTTGGCAGTAATTGCTTCCTGTAAATTAATACAGGTCTACTACAGCAATACTGACTTAAAGTAAGACAATGTACAAACTTCAGATAACTCACACTTTCTGAAAATTTTGGGCTGGGAATAGTAGCTGCTATTGTTCGGAACAGTGGAGTCTCTTGAAGAGGGGAACCGAACTCTGTAGTTGAAAACCCGCAAGCAAGTACACCATCAGCTTTTAGTTCATCACAATCTGGCATGACATCTGATAAAGCTAGTGTTAAATTCTTCTGTAATCTACTAGAATAGAAAAGGATTAGTCCAGAAGAGGCATAATGAACATCTTTATACCTTTATCTGTAGGTTCACTGCCTAACATTGTGTTTTCAACTTTAACAAGCTGATGCTGATCACCTGCATGAGTTGATTGTGATACAGGTCTGACATCCTGATATGGTGCACATAGCTCAGATTGACATTGCTCCACTTTATCAAGTGGTAAATGTGATGGCAGAGTTGATCCAGTACTATACTCAGAGCTGCCTGAGGACTCTTCATATAAGTCAGGTTGCCTGCACAACCAACAATTTAGAAACCATGGTGGTGATAAAGAGATCTGAAGTAACATTCCATTGGCCTGGTCTGTTTACCTCCATGATGCTTGATTGCCCTCAAAACTACCTTGTAAATCCTCAACCAAGTCCTTGAGAATGTCAAGTTGAACATCCATGTCAGAAATTCTAAAGCAGAATTCATCACTTTCTTTATTTTGGTTCAAGAAGTCCTGAAGAACCTGAACGCACATATACTCATGTTAGAAGCTGTCAAAATAACATACATATCTGCTTTAATTACACAGCTCAAGCCAATGGTGGATGTCTCCATGGGATTGAGGTCCACATTTAGACCTTTGTTTCTCAACACTTAGGTACGATTTTACTGAAAATACAATGTTTCATATTTTAAACCAAACATGAATTAATTTCTTTGGTTTTTTAAAGAGGTCAAGTAGAACTTTGGTAAAGGCACTTAGATGTGATTATCCCACTTAAGGAACTATTTGTCAGTAAACTTTAAGAAAGCGTACAAATCTATTCGATGAGGGATGTGATTTGAAAGTTGGATATGCAAACTACCTTCCAGGCATTTTCAAGGCTCTGATCCGTACTGTCTACGTTAACTTTTGCAGCAAGTGAGCTGAGTAATTCAGCTTGTTGCATCAATGCGAGTACCTTTGGATCATCCTTCTTGAGAAATGTTCCTTGAATTTTGTTATTGCCGGCTGTTTGAAGATTTAAAAAGATTGAGTTAGAAGATTAGTTTCTCTGATTTCAACTACTCAATTTGGTGATCAATACACTTTCAAGCCATCCATTTCCTTCCTCTGGTAGTGATACATGAAAAACCTTCACTGATTCGATAGATTTCTACTACCAAATAAATGTAAAGACTTTTAGGATGTACCATCAGTCGGAGCCTCTTTGACATCATTGCCATGCTGCTGAGTTGACAAGTTGCTTCCACTTTTGTGTATGTTTTGAGCTAGTACTGCAAATGGAGGTCTAAGCAACTGACTACTTGTTGCGCATTCGCCAACTAACTCTTCTTCACGGTTGCAGCTCTCAGTGGGATCAGGCATGTGGGCTCTCCTAAATTACAATAACAAAGCCTTAGTATTTAGAATGTGGTTGGAAGCTTACCTAGAAATGTGAAAATTACTGCACTAGTTTTACCTCATCTTCTTAAGGGGTCCTGCAGCTTCTGATATGCCATTTGTACTGAGACCACTTGGAAAGATAACTCTTTTATTGTTCAAATTGATATATGAAGTGTTGTTCTCTTTCGCTAAGGCTTCACGTTTTGCTCTCTTCTTACAGAGGGTAGAGAATCGGTTCTTCACGGCATTATCAGTCCTGTTTGTAGAGACCAGAATTGAGCCATACTGGTCAATACCCTTATGACCAAGACTAAATTGTTTAGAAATACAAATTAAAAAAAAAAAAAAGAGCTTCTTCAGTAAATCAAACTCTCTTTACCTGCCTGAAACAACTTTTGCAATTTCAGTCCATCTGTTGCCAAATATTTTCTGTGCCTGCATGGCATCTTAAATTTCAGATCACACCATCCAATAAGAAGGGAATTTGTCATCCAAATTAAAAGGATCAGATTGATGAAATTAGCAATAAATCTTAGATCTAATGTCATTTGAGGAAAAATTGAAATATTTATCATATATAAAAAGTCAGAGAGAGTAGAAGAAAAACAATATCAATAAAATGACAAAAATAAAATAAAAATTTGAATAAGAACTGGAAAGGGCATGAAGTAATGCATCAAAGCAGAAGTCCAATATGATTATTAGTCGAACATCAAAATCAGAGCTCCTGGAGAGCGTCACCATACCTCACACAAGAGCAGGTCTTCTTCTGGTGACCACCCACCTTTCTTGAAATCAGAGTTCAAATAAGTGAACCACCTGCATCATTATTGTCATATCAACATCACAAACCAAAACCCCAAAAGAGTACCCAGTGTCTTGGATAAATGCCTAAAATCTTAAGGTTCTTCTCAAGTCTCAGCCCACCTTCTTCTGCATTGCCTGGTTGTTTTATCCTTGAACTTCGAAGCAATGATCGCCCAACTGCACCCACAACCGGAAGTATTAAGAATCAAATACGAGTCATCAAAAACCTTTTACACCTCAAACAAAGTAAAACCAATAAAAATCCCTACTTTTCTGTTCCATGGATTCTAATTTGCTCTCTCAATATATCATCCTCCTGCAACCAAATCGCATCCATTCAATTAAAATCAATACAATAAACAGAACCCACAACAGAAAATCAAAACATGTTACCGGGATTGAACTTTTACTGAAAAATGGGATCAAAAACTGTAAAAACAGACCTCTTGGGACCAAGAAACAATATGTCTTTCTTTCTGCTTTGGCTGCTGCTGTTGCTGTTGTTGACTAGTAGCAATTGCATCATCAGTAGCACCAGTATTACTACTTGGCCTCCGCTTCACAGTCTGCATCGTCTAAACTGTTTGTCCAGCGCCGTTTCTCCCCCGCTCTCGCATGCTAAAGTAGTCTTTTGGTGAGTGTATTATATAAAAAAGAAAAATGACCAAGGCAAAAAGAGAGAACTGTTTCACTCTCTTTTCTCTCCTCTTTTACAGAAGCAAAAGAAGGAAACGGAACAGCTCAAGCCACCCAACCCCAAAAAACAAGAAACGATAGTACTGTTGGCCTTTTGAGAAATACGCTACTACTACTAGTAACCCTTTAGGCCATTTGCCTCGGATTCGAACTTTTCACAACAACATTAACGGAATCCAAAATTTAGGATTCAGTTTAAGAAAAAGCAAAAACACAAGAAGTAGGAACTAATATCACTGACACCAATCCATATTCCATACGAAAAGAAAAAAAACGTATCCTAAACAAAAAAAATTGTTACGTGCCTCGAGAAACGTGTAAACAAGAGCCAAGAACTGGGCGGTGATCGAAAATTAGATGGATCAAAGAAGAAAAGTGTAACGGAACGTGTGTATACGGTGTTTGGGAATTTATTTTGTTTGAAACTGTAGATGACTTTGATTTTCTTTTTGGTTAGGCAATGGTGTTGAAAACTGAGGTGGTGTGGATTTCAATAGAAATGGATGGATGGTTGGAGTTGGACGGATGGACGTCTCTGTCCAAGAAAAATGTGGAAATGGGAATTTTAAAAATAAACAACGGATCCCTGGGTTGGGTTAGTGCTTTTTGAGCGCGGGTATGAAGGGGAAGTTTGAAAAATAACGCTGAAACCCACGAGACTATAATTAATAGTTTGAGTAGACCAAGCAACCGCACACTCCCACTCACACACTTTCACTCACTATGCCATTGGCACTATTATTATTATTGTGTGTTCTTTTCTTCTTGTCTCAATACATCTCTTTCTTGAATGAATGTACTTTTTTTTTTTTTTTTGTGGCAAATTTTTGATCTTTTGAATGAAACATGTCAATGTTCGTGAGCTAACTGTTGCACTATCACAGGGAAGGGATTGATTGGCCTTTCAATTCATTTCAATTTCAAAGTGTTTGATTAGTTTGGGATATTTTCGTCTTGGGCCATTCATGTGTGTGTGTGTGTGTGAATTGAGTTAAATGAATTATTGAATGAATAATGCAGGCAGTGGCTGCATTGCATGGAGGGATATGTTTTTTTTTTTTTTTTTTTTTTGCTTTTGCTGTTTTCCTTTTCTTTTGCTTCCCATCGGGGGATCCACAAGACAGAAGCTAAACCCTGCCATGGGTGCACAACCACGTGAGAATGGGGGGATGGGATGATTTGGCAATTTTTTGTTCATGGCATTGCGCCTGCAGCACAGGCTGGCACCATTTACTTCTCTAGATAATAATTTCTCAATAGAAGATGAAAATACTTCTCTGTCTGCCTTTCTTCTTTTCCTCTTTTTTCAGGAGAAATGGACTTATTTGTAGAGATTTATTCTGAATTCAGGTCTAATATTTTATCATTTGTAGGGGAAAGAAATATTCTAATACCATTTCAGTCTAACTTAATCAATACAGCCATTTTGGTAACCGTTGATCTTTCTCCTCCACGGAGGGAGCATTCTGTAAACGTAAAAACAAATGCTGTCATGCATGCAGTTTTTTTTTTTTTTTTGTATATATACGATTTTAAGTTTAGCCGTTGGGAAAAAATACATATAACAATCGAGTTCAAACTCAGTATCAATTAAACTATTGAGGTTAGTTCGGTGGTAAAAAAAAGTCTATTTCTTAAAGTTTTCTCAAATTCAATGTTTAAATTCTGGGTTTGACAGTTCAGAATAGAAAGAGTGTGGCGAGTTGGTGGGAGGGTTTAAAAAAAAACTCCACATCAATTATCATTCCTGATTTCCTGCCATATTTACCTGAAGGACACAGCTAAAGGTCAATTTAGTCATTTACACAAGACAAGAAAAGTTTCAAACAATTTAGTCGTTTGTGGAAAAAAAAAAAAAAAAAAAGTAACCAATTGAGTGACATCCGAACAAAGTCATTAAATTTGTTTATTAATTGATTGATATTTACAATTGATGCGTTGAGTTTTTGAACAGATATCAATAATAAATACATAAATGACCAAAGTTAAAA